GTTGAGATGGGGAAAGTTCAAATATGCAGGACATTCTATCTTACCTGTTATTGAGTCTTGGACTTGGTTGAGTTTCTTAGTTGACTCAACCCCAATGTCATTTTTAGCCAAATCAGGCTTTTGTATTTTTGAACAATATTTCCATGGTAACGAAGAGCAGGGTTATAAAATCATCTTGTTTAGATGCAAAATGGCTTTTCCTAGATAATGTGTATACCAGTGGATCTTCTTAAACCCAGAAAACGCATGATTTATTATGTAATCAACCATTTATGGTACATAGTTTCTGCACAAGAATTTTGCAACCCCAACTATATGCCAAAGTTGCAAAGCTATGAATACCTCACTAGGCCCGGGTGATAAAAGACTATGTTGAGATTCTTGATTCTTGAGTTCGTGATCAACTGAAATATATAAAAGAAATTTTCTGGTATTTCTGCAAATTAGATGCATCAAATTAATTTCATCACTCTCATAGTACAACGATGGGCATTCGCCATAATGCAGCAACAATATAGAAAACAAACAAAGTAATTATAGGTGTATGTTATTACATGCCCACTTAGAAAGCTGTAACTTATCAACACCGAGAAGCATATACAATATTGAGCTGGTGGTAGCCTCTCCTTCTCACTCTTTGCATTAGCATGTGGATTATTTTTGTTTTTTGTGTTTAGTTTTTAGTTTTTAGTTTTCATTTTTCGCTCAAGAATGAATCATGCTGGGCAGCAACATCTTGGCCTTTGTCATTAAACACCCCTGCAATATCAGCATCGCAGAATCACCACCCAGCAGGAAGGATAAGAACATCAATTGCAGCATCCTCCCAAATATGTAAACCCCATCCAGAATTGAGCAGATGTTTACTCTGCAGTTATAAGTGTTTGCCTTGGTTAATTTGGTTAATCATAATGAATGCCTAAAGACAAGGGAGGAAAATAAACAAGTCCTGAAGTATGAAGCTGTAACATTGACCAACTGCTTTTGCTGAAAAAAAATCGACCATAATCAAGTAAATGAACCTTTTCTTATAAACCTTCTCAATATGTGATCCTGAAATTTGCGCTAATTAACCATGATAAAGTAGCATCACTTGACAACTGTAGTAAACAGAAACTTCAAAGTAAGAAACTTAAATATGACTCTGTAGTGCTTATTCCATGTTAGGGTCCATCAAATATTAATTAAACCTGTGAAAATAAGATTGGTGCTAGTTACTAACCATTCTTGTGTTTGTGGACTCCAAGATTTTTAACTCTTAAACACTGAAATATCTATATGCTATGTGGTTTGATGTAGAACAGAAATTTTGTAAGTTCATTATGACAAACTGGCATACAACATAAAAAAAATCGATTAGTTTTGCTTGTACCTTCATATCGCATCTTGTCTGCATGGTTAGCACTTTAGTGCTAGTTTCTGTGACTAACTAGTTTTTCATCCATCCACACAGAGAAGATATTTGTAATTTTGGGCCAATCTTCACCTCTCTCAGCTTGGCATCGTTTCTTGAGCTCAGGGCAATTATTGATGCTCAAGAAATGGAGTGTCATAGGCAGACCATTCCTTGGAAGACAGTGCACTTTATGGCAGCCTGAGATCTCCATGTGAACTAGCGAGGTCAGGTTCTTGAGCTCTGGGAGGTACCCTAGGCCACAATGTTGAATTTTCAAGTCTTCTAGTGCTTTGAGATTTTCTAGGCCTGTTGGAAGAGAATAAAGCCTAGGACAGTGCTTAATACTAAAACAAACAAGCCCATTTGGCAGCCAATTATCTGGCAAAGATATCAGTTGATTGCAGTAACTGATCTTTAAGCTGCGTAAGGTAGCATGTGGACGGCCTGCTTCTGATGGCAGAGTTTTTATTGGTAACCTGCTGAGACAAAGCGAAGTTAGGGAAGTAAGACACGGCCATGAGTGCCAAATCCAGTCACCACAGCTTGACATCTCTAAGGATGTGAGTGATTGAAATCTTGGTATACCACGCAATCTCGGGCAACTTTCTTTCTCTTGCATTGACAGCAAACGAAGTTTATGTTCATCCCAGATCTGTAAACTGCCTATGTTCTCAAAAACCAGCTTCTCCAATTTGGGGAATTTGCCATGTTCCTTGCCACAGAATTCATGATCCATGACTGCCACACTTTCCATTCCTTTTATATGGAGTTCTCGCAGCTTGGGCAATTTGCCAAGTGGGGGAAGATATTTACATTGATTGCAGCTGGAGAGATGTAGTGATTCAAGATTGGTGAAAGCAGAGTCACCTAACCAAGATGGAAATGATCGGGCTCTGTAGCCTATTATCCTCAGCTCCTTAAGGTTTGTATGAGGTTGGAGAGTTGCTAGAATGCTTTCATCATATCCAACATGTTCAGAAGCTGATGTACCGATATTCCATCGCAACTGCAAACTCTGAATGGAATTCTTGTTTGTCAAGTTTGCCTTCCTGGCTTCTAATGGATTTCGAACGAGATGAAGATTTGAGAGGATAAGTTCCCCATGGAGACTGTTCAAGTATTTCAGTTCTCCTAACCCACAACCAGCCTTTGTGCTTACTACAAATCTTGATAATGTTTGAAGATTGGTTAACAGTCCTATATGTGGTGGTATAGATTTCAATTTACACATTGCTTCCACTGAATTATCATCGAGATGAAGATCAAGATGGCGAAGGTTACGAAGATTTTTTATATCTGATGGCAGCTCCTCAAGAGAATAACAATTTCTGAGTCCCAATGTCTGGAGATTGTAAAGACGACCTAGTGATTCAGGGAGACTTGATAGTTTTGTATTGTGAAGCCGAAGGCAGCGAAGGTGCTTCAACTCACCAATTGATTTGGGTAACTCCTTTAGGTCACAGTTGCTCAAATCCAAAGTACGGAGGCTTTTAAGTTCTTCTCCAAGTCTGTCAGGGACCTTTAGACTATACTTTCTGGAACCACCGAAAAGTAGAAGTGTATACAAGCCCTTACATTGATATATTTCAGAAAAGATATCAGTTTGAGCAGGTGAATTTGATTTCATTTTGTCATTTGGCTCCAACTGGCTTAAAGTCAATGACAAATGTCGAGTTTCAGGCTCAACCTTGAATGGCTTGCCAATTTCCATGGTAGAACATTCTTTAGCTGACACTCGTCGAGCAAAATCATGTACAAGTTCATGCATTCGATATTTTGGTTTGCCTCTTTTATAGTCGGACTGGGAGCACCCAAAGAATGACCTCTGCACTAAGATATCAAAGTACTGGCTGCCTAAGTCTTCAGCAGATTTTCCTTTAGGCTGGATGAAGTTCTGTGCCATCCACAATTCGACAATGAATTCCTTCTCGAACTCGCACCCTTCTGGAATTATGGAACAGTATGCAAAGCATGGCTTAAGATGTGGCGGCAATTGCTGATAGCTCAAGCTGAAGGCCTTTTGGAACTCACTGTCACGTCCAGAGAATTCCTCTATCTCCCTCCTTATGATGGATCTCCACTCGCTTCTATCACTCACTCCAAGCAACTGATTGGCAATACTTATTGCTGCTAGAGGCAAGCCTTTGCACTTCCTCAGAATTTCTTTGGCAATGTCATCAATATCAGAGTGTTGATATGTATTGTGTTCGAACGCATACTGACAGAACAAATTCCAGCAGTTCTCATCGGATAAGCCTTTCAAGACATAGGGCGATGTTGTGCCCATGAATTTTGCAACTTCTTCACTTCTTGTAGTCACCAATATCTTACTCCCTTCAGCACCATGGAGTAAGGGCAGTCTAAGGTTACGCCATTTTTCTGGGTTTTCATTCCAGACATTATCCAAGACAAGCAGGTACCTTCTGCCACTGATCTTATTAAGAAGTTGCTTCTGAAGATTGTCCATGTTGATGTGATCAACTGCAGAGCTACCTGTGGATTCGATGATAGCTTTGGTGAGCCTTCTTACACTGAAATCATGTGAGACATCAACCCACAATCTCAGCTCGAAATGCTTCATCACAACCTCATCGTTGGAGACAAGCTGGGCGAGGGTGGTCTTCCCAACACCACACATTCCGAGTATGGGGATCACAGATATGCTTTTCTTATGCATCTCATCAGCTTGTAGTAGCATTTTCAAAATTCTGTGCTTATCGATCTCCCTCCCTAGCACGACTGGTGGATGGAGTGAGGTGGTCATCGGAAGCACATCACTCTCTTCTGGGTGCCGTGATGCATCCCCAACTCTTATATTAAAGGTCACCACCTCCTTCCCGAGATTATCGAGCCTCTCAGATATATCTTCTATCTTACGAGATATGATGTGCCGAATGATGGAACGTTTTGGATTCACCATGGAGAAGGAATCACGTACCCCTGACAAGGAGATCAGTTGCCGCCGTTGAGCCTCGTAAGAAAGCTCATCCAGCACATCGACTGCATCGTAGCCGACTTTCCTCAGATTCTCTAGCCACAATTTCAGTGGTTCATCGCCGTGCGCCTTTTCTTCAGCCTTATTTATGACAGCTTTAATCATGGAGACATTGTTGTGCAGTTTCTTGCGTTTTCCCTCGAGTTCGTGCTCCAATTTCAGCTCCTCTTGCAACAAGTTAAAGGCCGTCTGAAACAAGACTTGCAGGAAGGCTGACAGAACCTCACCAGCCATTGGAGAGAGAGAGAGAGAGAGAGAGAGAGAGAGAGAGAGAGAGACAGTATGTGTGTTATCAAGATCTGAGGAGCAGCAACCTACTCAGCACAGCCAACGAACATTGATATTTATTCTCTGAATTGGTCAGTTTTAACAACTGGTGAACAATGGGAATCTTGCACCAACTGGAGGAGGCTGACAAAACGTCTCCATCAGATGGAGAACAAACAAGGATGATATTTCTTCTGTGTATGTTGACTTCAATCTTCTCGGAGGGAAGGGTGGTGAACTTTGAGGATCATAGAAACTGCAATCTACTCAGCACAGCCATCTTATTTTTAGAGTTTTTCTCTGACTTGGTCAGTTTTGCCTTCCGCAAGTCAACTGGTTCCTGGGAATTGCTCCTTCAGTTCATGACCCAAGTAATTACTACGATGCTGCTGATTACTCTCAGGATCGCCGTATGGCTATGCCGTTGCATCAGGTCACTCCTAACCTTTCCTCCATTCTTCCCTTCCGTAGAGGAAGTGAGCCATAGTTGTGAATGATGCACTAGTATACTGTTTACATGTATCTATCTTTTAATAAGCATCTTTCATGCACAATTATATTTCTGAACCAGTTATCGAGATACTAGAGAGATGGACTGAACCCGGAGGTTTTGCAACACCATGTGATCCACTCAAACGCTCAATCAACTATCATCCATCAAGGAACAATTAAAAGGTGAGTTCACTTGTTGCGTGCTCCATTTGCTTTTAGCAGTTGTCTGCAAATTATTGAGATGATAAAGCAGCCGAGTATAACAGGACAGAGGAAGACTTTATGGCTGCGTCTTCTTCTTTCATTTGTTTACGACCGCACTTGAATGGGGACATCTCTGGCACTACAAGTCAATTGAGTTAAATGAAGGACAAGTTGCATACTAATGAATGGGACATCTTTGGTGTCTACGAGTCAATTTAGTTAAATGAAAGGACAAGTTGGGGCTTATTAATCGCAAATAAAATCGTGTAAATTACCATAAATTTCAGTGCCATTAAGAATATGGATAAGTACTTATAACTGCTATTGGTAAGTCAAAGAATGTGTCCGGTGCAGAAGGCTCTTATCAATGTGAGACGTGAGTAGAGTCAATCTACACAAACTCACTTATCTTAGAGTGGGTACATACATACATACATACATACATAATGTTGTCTAAAAAAATATATCCGCTCTAGAAGCATTGACCAAGTCTTTATGTTGACTGAGTCATAGTCAAAAAATATATCCGCTCTAGAAGCATTGACCAAGTCTTTATGTTGACTGAGTCATAGTCAACGAGGTGTCGAGAAATAATTTCTAAGATGTAGAAGGCCGTCGCATTAATTTCCAGCGGTGCAATGGGGCCCGATGTAAACTTACTCCAAGCAGCGGTATTCTGAACCGCAAGAAATCCCACTTCGTAAAGATCTTAAGGTGATCCGACGGGTTACTAGATGATTAGCGGAACATGATGACGGAGGGGTTATTACACCTTCTTCATGACGTCCGCGATGGTTGGGTTTCTCTTTGCCATTGATCTTCGAAATCCCTAATTCCGGACGCCGAAGAACGCCAACGAGTAATTCCTCTTTCTGATGGCTTCAAACTCGTAGTATCGGAAGGCAGCTCGGATCTACGAAGATAACTTTCTTCATTTCTTTTAATGGTTTACTGGGCTGGCCTACGGAAGGCAGCTCTATTATTGAGCCCACTTCGATTCTGTTGCAGCTTTGGTCTCATCTTACTCCGGAAAGTAGTCCAATGCATCGAACGTTGCATTCCACACATGCATACAACACCACAGCAGTAGGATTCATTTTAGTTGTGAATGGGTGAATTAAACACCACGCTTAACTCCTCCGAGCTCTCCACATTTATCGTAACATTCCGATTGAATTATCACTGATCTGTGAAGTTTAAGTTCTTAACAAAGAACTTAATCTAATATGTTAATGTTAACAAAGAATTATGATGTCACGTCGTAAACACACAAACGTTCAAGGACTCGAGAGTGCTAACCTGCACGTCCCGCCTATTCCAGCGCATTTTAGCCGCAATTTCGAACGCCTATATAAACCCACCAATTCCGATCTTTCTTCCTACCTCTCTCTCTCTCTCTCTCACGTCGCGCAAGCGTTGGAGGGGACGACGAAGTCCAAATCTGGACTTTGATTCCCCATCGTCGGCTTCTCCTCCTTCCCATCTTTCCCCTTCCGATCCTTCTTATCCATCCCGATCTATTCATTTTTTTGGATATCGAGGTCATTGGTAAGATCAATGCCGCCGCGCAGCAGGGGCTTTCGTCTGTGTCGGATCTTGGAAGCCCGAAGTGTGGGTTCTGAACCAAGGGAAATCGACATCCATCAGGCCAATCAGCTGCTTCTTTTTATTTTCTTCCTTTTTCCTCCAGAGATCGGGAAGATTTCTCCTTCAGAGAAGAATCGACATGGGTCCAATGAAGAAGACACCGCCAAAGTTGTGGGTATTTTGGATCTGGGGAAAACTGATCCTGACGTTAAATATCTGAATCTTCGTTTTCGTTTTGTTTCTTGCGTTGATTTTCCCTGGTTTAAATTGGTTAGCCATCTCTGTTGTAATTATCATCTACGAACAGAGGGAGGTCCGCTGCCTTTATGCCTGAAGATCCAGAGTTAGCATCAGCAAGATAGGGAATTTTTTTTACTTCCTGATCATTGTTTTGATGTTAGAATACTGTCTTTGTCTTATATCATTAGAGTGACGAGTTAAAGAAGGAATTCCTGTTGGAGATGGTGGTTGCGGTGGATCCACCGATGGCAATTATATCTTAAAGAGGCATTCAGTTCTGTTCTGTAGTTCTTTTCTCAAACTGTTATATCTGATCTTGTAATTTGGTGTTATCAGGGGGAGATCATGAGCTTCTCTAAAGCAAAGAGTTGGATTTCACTTCCATGTTCCGGACATCACAATTCTGGTATGATGCGTCCACTTTCTCATCTCTATGCTTGATTGCGATGCCTAAAATTATGAGTACTAGTGTTGATGTTTGCTGTTAGGTATTCAGTATGGCAAACCTCATCTCGAAATTTTAGTTTGTGGCTGTCGGTCAAAGCATACAATCAGGGGCATTGCTTCTGAAAATATCCAAGCTTAATGGAAACAAGTATGATATGATGCAGTCTCATGATATTAGCCAGTTTTGATTAAGTTTTGATAACATGGCAGATTACTCGGGTGCTTCTTCTTGACAATATATATTAAGAATCTATATCTGAAACATTAAATTTGTAATTGAGAATAAAACATATGATAACTCATAAATTGCATGATAATTTATCAGTGCAAGCCTAATTTTCATATTATCGAAAACCAATTAGTGTAAAATTTGATATACTTTTCCGCGTTAGTTTTCTCTATATAATATACAGTTGACTTTGAGGTTATGAAGTAAATGTAATTCCTAATATGGCTGTCCATTGCATGCCTTCATGAATTCTTGTTATGTTTTAGATCTTACCATGACTTATTTTTCATTTTGTTCAGATTTCTGCTTCTTGGAGTTCTTTGTTTATATTCTTGACGTAATATGCGATTGATTTATCTTCAACAGCTAATGGTCTCAGAAAGTATTACTTCCACACGCTGTGTTCTCATTTGTATGTCGCTAATTGTGCTATACTAAGTAGATGGAGTTGGATCAGTAGCATCGAGGCCGACACTTGGTATTGTGCTTCCTCGAGTTAGGTTGCTTGGAATTTTCAAGATGCAAATCCTCGAAGCTGTGGCCTTGCTTTGTGCCACGAGACAGCTGATGTGGGCCTCAGTTCGCCTCCCCCCTTGTTGTGGAAAACGGACGGTCCGGGCTCCATCTGCCCGCTTATCACGCGATGGACGATAAGCGTCGACCGATAGGTAATGACGCCTTGTAAGAGGCGGCTCGCTCGGCCTTATCAGTAGGCGCTGGAAAATCTTCTGCTCACGTTGTCCTTCTTTCTTGAGTTTGGTGTGGTGATCTAGAAAATAAGACATAAGAGCAAGAACAGCAGGTGCAGAACAGGAGTGGTCGTTAGAGAAGGGACGATGGCTGGCTTTCCTGGAGTGAAGGTGGCTCCGTTCACGTACGTGTCGCACGTGTTGGCGGTGGCGTCGGCGGCGATGGTCCTAGTGTGGTGCATCCACTTCCGCGGCGGCCTCGCCTTCGAGTCCACCAACAAATCCCTCATCTTTAACGTACGCCGACTCTCGATTTCTTATTTTAATTCAACCTTCGTTAGTTTTTCATTGATCGGATCATTGTTAGGTTTGAACAATTCCTACCTTTTCATCAGTCAGTGTCGGTTTCAATATATGAAAAGAGATCGAAGTAACTTGAGCGGCTTCTCTAATTATATTCTTCTCTTGGTTCCTATCAGCAGATGATCATCTTGTACTGTTCTGGTGTTTGGTCTTCGTATCTCGCCTTATGTACTCTTTAATTAAAGAGATTTTGTGTAGCCTTAAATAAGAAAAGCAAAGGTTTTATTGATATCTTCTTTTGATGGTAAAGTTCTTTTTCCCCTCCTTTTTTTCTTTTGACCCATTCTTTTGATAGCTTGTATGGTTCTTTCTCTGCGCAGAACAGTGATTCATGTTCTAATCATGTTTCTTCTTCTTCTCCATTGCACTGAATTTTCTGTATATTAACGTCGCCGGATAAAATCTAGTCATATTTAACTTTGTTCATTGGGGATTTTGTCTCGCTTCCTAAGAAAAGAATAATGTTTTCTTTATGGTGCATCGACTGGATAGAGTTAACATTTTTCAGTAGTTAATTATTTTGCTCAATAAAGTGAGGAAATAACTCTGTCCATACTTTGTCAAATAGTGTTTTCTTTACATTTTAATGTGGTCTGTCCTGCAGACCATATATTTTGATGTGGATTTCTAAGCTGAAATTTCTTACAAGTCGTCTTTTATAGAAGCACTTGTTGAAAAGGCTGAACTATATTACAGTAGAACACTAACGTTGATTAGTTGCTAGAAGACTCTGTTTCATAAGTAGCGTTGCCCGGAAGTCTGTACTCTGTAGAATGTAAAATAGACCATGCTAATATGCGACATATATCCTAGAATCTCCTCAGAGGTGGAAGGTGAGAAAGCAATCCTATTGTTTATAGAATGATATAACAACAGTTTCTTTTGATATGTCTCCACATGGTTTGCCCTCGTTGAAATAGTTTTATTGACGAAAATGAACATTTATTTTCTGATTGTGCATTACGGATTCATTTTGAAATTTTGTGAGCACCAATTGACAATTAGTTTAATATTGTTATGCATCACTGCTTTAGGCATATCAGTCAAAGGGATGTCTTTTTTTATTTCTTTATCCTGCTTTATGATGAATCGTGATCCATGCCAAGACTAATGTTCACTTTTTGGGGTCCCTTGAAAGAATATTTAGAGTTGTTTAATATGAGTTGTTTTACATCAAGAAAAAAAAAGGATGCAATGTGAAGATAGTAACATTTCTGATATGGTAAGCAATCTGATGGCATATATGTCACTGTCAAAAAAGTCATCATATGTTTGAGATGGAGGTAAAGATGCATTCGAGATTGCTCCATGATAAAAAAAAATTCAAATGATATATATTTGCAATTAATACTCAATTTAATAAGTTTAAGTTTTTAGATTGTATCGATATTCAGTCTCATGTATGTTAATCTTGATCAGTTTGACTATAAACATGTTAAAAATTGGATGATATATATTTATTTTCTTGCAGATTCATCCAGTTCTTATGCTGATTGGTTTTATTATTGTTGGGAGTGAAGGTAAGCCCGGTGAACCAATAATGTGCTATGTTATTAGATATGATTTATATGTCTATCAAAATAAATAGATATGACTTGTATCGGTTCACCTACTTGTGCTCGACTGTTCTACAGCTATAATGAGCTACAAAACCCTGCCACTGAGTCATGAAGTGAATAAAGTTATCCATTTGACTCTTCATGCAATTGCTCTTGTACTCGGTGCTGTGGGAATTTATGCTGCCTTCAAGTTTCACAATGAAAGCGGAATAGATAACCTGTACAGCTTGCATTCTTGGGTTGGGCTCGGCACCATCTGTTTATATGGCATTCAGGTAGGCAACATAAGCAACACATTGAATCTTTGCTCCATGTCACAGTTAACTACAAGTATTTGGTTCCCTTTCTGATTGCATCATGGACAACTGGTAAAAATGCCACTCCTTGTTCCATTTTAGTTTTGTCTGGACTACTATTATAGAGAAAGCTGAAATATTGGTCATCGTGTGGTATTTTGATGGGGGAGATAAATGTTTACCAGTTAAATATTGATGAAAGATAACAATCACAGAGAAATAGCTTTCGTAATTGTAAATGGAACAATCATTGGACTAGGAATTCAAAGCATTTTGTCATTACATTAATTATTTTTATGCACAAGAGCAGGCTTGCTACTATATACATATCATTACTAGTCTCACTTTAACGTCTTAATTTCTTCCTTGCAGTGGATTTTTGGGTTCGTGACCTTTTTCTTTCCTGGTGCATCTCCAACGCTGAGAGGTAAGTCTCTTCCTTGGCACGTACTATTTGGGCTGTTCGTCTACATACTAGCCATAGCCACCGCAGAGCTAGGCTTCTTGGAGAAACTCACTTTTCTGGAGAGCTCAGGCCTGTACAAATATAGCTCAGAGTCCTTCTTGGTAAACTTCACTGCTCTTGTCGTGATCTTTCTTGGAGCCTCAGTTGTGATATCTGCTATTGCTCCTGCACATGTTGATGCTCCACAAGGTTATTCTTCTATATCGGAGAATTAATCTCACCATTGTTGTCACAAACTGTTCTCCCAGTCAGACATTTGCATGACACAGTTATGTTTGTTACATACTACTACTGTTAGAAGGGAAGACTAGTGGTTTCTTCGCTGTGTATAGTTGGTTGCCATGGACAATATGATTCTTGCAATGATAATGTTTCTTTGGTTGCAATATGATCTCTGGTTGATTCACAAATGATTTCTGCACTGTGGTGTCCTAACCGGTAAATAAAGGGACTTAATGCTACCTTTGCCCAAATGTGCACGGTTTGCTATAGAATTCACATCTTGATTACAAGTACGGTTGACGGCTAGATGTGGGATTCAATTGATGGTGTCGTATGTATGACTTCTCTGAAGTAATGCATGTAAGGTTATAATCATTCGGTTTATTTGTTTATTATTGCATGGTGGTACAATCTTTCTCATGAAACAAGCATCGTGGTAGCTGCTAAAGGCAATTCTAGCCCACAGGTACCGGGATTTTTGTCTGATGTGAAATATATATCGTAAGAAACTTGAAGTTTGAATTACGGAAAACTCTTTCTTTTAGCTTTACTCATAATTTCTATAATTATGAAGTGAAACATTTAGCTTCAATTATCTCGATTTTACCAGCGAAAGCATGAAAACAATAGGCAAAAATATAATTTTAATATTGCAGTTACGTTTTCGATGGTGATAAACGACGACACCATTGAAGATTATGAGTGATTGTTCTGGATGAGGAGGGAGAGCGGTGGCGAGAGGTGAGGCAAAGGGAAAGGAGAAAGAGGACGATGCTAATGTCGACGCTTTGCATCTACATCGGTGTCGACGCAATTACCGAGCGACGTCGATGCTGATGCAGAGTGGTGAAAGGGCGATGATTCACTACGAGCCGAATGCGACATTCCTTTGTTGGGCCAGCGACACGTCCATCCACAACGTTAATTTCCTCATGACTCGTCATGTCTGCTAGGTCACTTATGCCACTTGCCACTCCCTTAACATTGTCTATCACATCTCTGGCGCAGATCCGTGGCGAGTCCACCCCTTTTATGCTTCCTGCGATCTCGATCCTATTACCACTTCTTCACACTTTATAGCCTTCTCGACCTTGAGCTCTTACCTATCCACATTCGAGTCCATGACGACACCTCAATAGTGGGCGACCATAAAGCAATGATGCGGGGTCGTTGAGGAGAAGGTGGAGGCCATCCTGCTAGGTTGGATTCGAAGGATGGGGTTGCTAAGTGATATCGATGCAATTGTCGAGCGACCCTTTCACCACTCTCCGTCACATCGGCATCACTTGGCAATTGTGTCGACATCTGCATTATCTTCTTCCTCCTCTTTTTGCCTCAACTCTCGTCATCGCTCTTCCTTCCCATTCATAATAGCCACCCATAGCCTCCAACGATGTCATCGTCCACCACCATGGAAAACGTAACTAAAATATTGAAATTATTTTTTTACCTATTATTTTTATGTTTTCGTCGGTAAAACTAATGATATTATAATAAATGAAGTTAGATATTTTACATTAATAACTATTGAGATTCTAATATAAATTTGTTAAGTCTAAGAATTGAAATACTAAAAAGACCTAATTATAAGAGATAATATGTAATTAGTCATACCAGAAAAACCTAATAAATTTCTACATGGAAGCTACCATGGACTTATAACCTTAGTACCAACCAACCAACCAAAGAGAATCCTTCCATATTCACTTCTTTTTTGAGCTTCTATCAAGAAATAAGCTTGATTATATATATATATATATATATATATATATATATATATCTCTCTCTCTCTCTCTCTCTCTCTCTCTCTCT